TTGGAGGCTCGTGTTGAACTACGCCCTTTGCTCATTGGCTCATCTGAACGCTTGAAGGATCTTATCTTTTTGGACATTGCTCTTGATTCTACTTTCAGGACAGCAGTTGAAAGGTCGTATGAGGAGCTGAATGATGCAGCACCGGAGGTTGGTTACACGATTATCGCTTTAGTCATGTCACTATATGTGCTTGTTCGCTCACTATATCTTGTTGTTTCTCATTCAAACATGTTTTCCCCTTGTCCAGAAAATTATGTACTTCATCAGTCTTGTTCTTGAAAATCTTGCCTTGTCCACTGACGACAACGAAGACATCTTATATTGCTTAAAGGTAAATTGATCATCTGTTTCAAGTTTTCTAGAGACAAAATATTTTTCGTCTGCATCTAATTTGATATGCATAACCATAATATAGTTATTTTTGTATGTCGGGTGGCTGCTCACAATTTTCCTTTTCTTGTTTTCTGTTTCAACTTATTAGTTATTCTTTGTCTTGCACCTATGGGTATCTCCATTGCTTGTAATGTGTTCTTTCTCTTTAGCAATGTCAAGTTTTTAACACCACCTAAAAGTATCAAGTTCAAGTTCAAGTTCAAGTTCAAGGATGGTGACTTTGTTCTACTGTGTTTCCTGAAGGGATGGAATCGAGCCATGGACATGGTTAAGCAAAAGGATGACCAATGGGCCCTCTACGCTAAAGCATTTCTTGACAGAACCAGACTTGCCCTTGCGAGCAAGGGCGAACAATACTACAATATGATGCAGCCCTCGGCTGAATATCTTGGCTCATTACTCAACGTTGAGGAATGGGCAGTACGTATTTTATGAACTTCAGCTTTATTTATCTATGTTCATATTTTGGCCTCTAGGAACTAGTCATAAATATCATTTTGGCAGGTTGACATCTTCACAGAAGAAGTAATTCGTGGTGGATCAGCTACCACTTTATCTGCTCTTCTGAACCGATTTGACCCTGTTCTCAGAAATGTCGCACACCTTGGAAGGTAAAATTGTGAATTCCATGGTTGCTATTTTATTTTTTACACCACGATTCCTTGTGCATTACCTGTCATTTTGAAATGGTGTCACTTAGCAATTCAGTTTATACATCTTATTGTATTATATTCCTTTACTCTGTGCTTGACGTCCATCTCCTTTTAATAGTTGGCAGGTTATTAGCCCAGTTGAAGTAACAGGTTATATTGTAGTGGTTGATAAGTTGCTTTCTGTTCAAAACAAAACTTATGATAAACCAACAATCCTTGTGGCAAAGAGTGTCAAGGGAGAGGAAGAAATACCAGATGGTGTTGTTGGCGTGATAACACCTGATATGCCAGATGTTCTGTCTCATGTGTCAGTTCGAGCAAGGAATTGCAAGGTTTTTTTGTCTTCACAAATACATTTCTAGTTTTGATAAGATATGTTTCCTATGTTGATCTAAAGCAGCCTCACTTCTCTCTATCTAAGGTGTTGTTTGCGACATGCTTTGACCTGAACATCCTGTCTGAACTTCAAGGACATGAAGGGAAGGTGTTTTCCTTCAAAACTACTTCTGCAGATGTCACCTACAGGTAGCTCTTACTATTAGTTATGAATTGCATACATCTGATGAATAGTTTCTTCTGTCAGAGTAGCCCTTTATTTAACACATGTCACATCCATGGAGAATAACTTGGTACAGGGAGCTACTAATTTTTTTTCGAAGGCCAACGCCAGTTATGTTAGCAATAGTCAGTAAGATTGATTAGTTTACAGGGCTGGGAAAACCTTCTGCTATATAAGTGACAAGTAGCTAAACACCAGTTTAACTATTGCCATACGATCATATTTCGCGCTTCTTATCATTCAGTTTTCAACAATCACCAGTAATATCACAGCCAACCTGGAATCCCTTGGCTTAGTATTTTCTAGTTTACTTGTCTTGATAATCCTCCTTCTATCCTTGATTATATGTCAACCAATTACATCTTGTCTCTACCACTTTGTAGGGAGGTATCGGACAGTGAACTTTCAATTTCTTCAGATGCACAAGGTGGTGAAGCAATACCATCTTTATCATTAGTCAAGAAAAAGTTCCTCGGAAAATATGCAATATCAGCGGAAGAGTTCTCTGATGAAATGGTAATAACAGAATTCTATGCACTACGAAATGTTACTTTCAGAATTAATCAGGAAACAAATTGTTGCTCTGTTGGATTCCTTCTCTTCTTGCCTGGCACTTTCGGGTACTCACGTTCTGTTGTCAGGTTGGAGCAAAGTCCCGCAACATAGCATACCTGAAAGGAAAAGTACCTTCATGGGTTGGTATCCCAACATCAGTTGCCATACCATTTGGGACCTTTGAGAAGATATTGTCTGATGAGACCAATAAGGTTGGTGGTTCTTGTTTGAAATTAAATAAGTGAATGGTAGCACCGTATCACTCGGTTTATACAGTGGTTAGAGAAATCTGTTTCATCTGCCTGTCCAACACAAAAAGTTGCTAGCATAATAATGATTTTTCAATTTATTATTCTCATTCATTGGTATGATGTTATCACAAAAGTACACTTGAAATAAGTAATGATCTTCCAGGCAATGAGCCAACTGATTGTTCCGTCCTTTGATGGCAGGAAGTAGCACAAAACATACAGATGCTGAAGGGCAGACTTGCTCAAGAAGATTTTAGTGCTCTAGGAGAAATCCGGAAAACTGTTCTTAATCTAACTGCTCCAACTCAACTGGTAAGATATAACATTGCAACTAGCTAAATGCTTGTGCTTTGTCTATGGAATTTAATTTTGTTATATACTATTATCAGTTGTTTAAACGCTTGCGCCACTTAGTCCATAAGTTTGTACAAAATAGAAAAAAAAATCTCAGAATATACATCAATTGAATCCAACCATATGTATATCCCTCATAAAATGGATGACAAATGTGACGATTCTTAATAACGTAAGAGGTGAACGGGCCACCACCAACTCAGATCTTTAAGAGTATAAGAAACTTAAGAGGTGAACGGGCCGCCACGTACCCAGATCTTTAGAAGAATTAAGTTAAAGATTTAAAGCCGATAAAGTTTTTTTAAAGGACATTCCTGGCGCAGTGGTGAAGTACTCCCCACTTGTGCCAAGAGGTCCTGGGTTTGACGCGGCCTCTCTGCATTGCACTGTGCAGGGGTAAGGCTCGTATAATCCTTTACCCAGGCCCCACCCGGTGTGGGAGCTTCTAGCACTGGGTCTGTCCTTTAAAATATTTTTTTTTGTCAGCGGTAGTAAGAAGTGAGAGAGTGGATACAGTCCCACCACCTGGGCTCAAGTCCTCACTCCTCACGACATAAATTTAGGTTCCTATTTATATTGTCGGGGTTTTCCCCACAGTTTTCTTAAACAAAAAATAAATATAAATTCTATTTGCATCCATTGCAATTTGAAACCTTGTTTATCTCACTTTTTCTCTACTTCCCTTTACAGGTTAAGGAGCTGAAGGAGAAGATGCTAAGCTCCGGAATGCCCTGGCCTGGAGATGAAAGTGACCACCGTTGGGAGCAAGCTTGGATGGTAATTAAAAAGGTCTGTTCTCCTGATACTCATACCAGTGAAGGATCCAGAATGCGCATCTCTGAGTTTTGATGTCATTAGAAGCGCCATGGACTTACCTACATAAATTGGATCTTCTTGCATCATTTGTCCCCAAAGCTTAGATAGATCTATTATAGAGATCAGAGCATTTGATTATGATAAATTAGTGGGTGAGTGAATTCGCTCTGAGTTGGGGATTTCGACATCTCACATAATTTCTATTTTAGGTTTGGGCATCAAAATGGAATGAAAGAGCATATTTTAGCACACGCAAGGTGAAACTCGATCATGAGTACCTTTCCATGGCTGTTCTTGTACAAGAAATTGTCAACGCAGACTATGCCTTTGTCATTCATACTACGAACCCGTCATCTGGAGATTCTTCTGAGATATATGCTGAAGTGGTGAAAGGACTTGGAGAGACACTTGTGGGAGCTTATCCTGGCCGTGCCATGAGCTTCGTGTGTAAGAAAGATGACCTTGACTCTCCCAAGGTGAGAATATCTTGAGTATATTAGTTTTTTCACATGTTAAATTCTTGCTGAGCTGAATGTAGCGCATTAATAGGTACTGGGTTACCCTAGCAAGCCAATTGGTCTCTTCATAAAGCGGTCAATCATCTTCCGTTCAGACTCTAATGGTGAGGATCTGGAAGGTTACGCTGGAGCAGGGCTGTATGATAGGTTAGTGTAAATCCTTCATGAGATGTGGTTTACCCAAATCCTTAAAAATTCATTTAGCATTGCAGCTGAGGAGTGTGCCTGTTTCAGTGTCCCTATGGATGTGGAAGATGAAGTTGTACTCGACTACACGACCGACCCTCTCATCACTGACTCTGGATTCCGGAGCTCAATCCTCTCAAGCATTGCACGGGCTGGCCACGCCATTGAGGAGCTCTATGGGTCACCGCAGGATGTTGAGGGAGTAGTGAAGGATGGGAAGATCTACGTAGTCCAGACAAGACCACAGATGTAATATGTATGTATAGGCAGCTCAAGCTGTAGAGTAGTAGGATATGTGGTCCTTGCTGGCATGTATAGTTCTACTCATAGATGCACAACACATCTACGTTGTTATTTATTTGCATATACGCTCAGAATAAGCTTTGATCACATACTGTATTTCCTAGAGTACCAGAACATGTATGCACGATCAGGAATATGACCTTATTAAAAACATCGGGGGAGAACGTTTTGAGCAATCTATATTTACACGTGCTGTTATAATGTAAATATCGGTAGTCTGCTTGCTTTTTGGTCCTCTCCTTTATGTCCAACAGCTAGAAGGTGTGAAAAAAATCCTGTAAATATCTATTCTCTGAAAATGACAGCTTCTTGTACTCGTCAGCAGCAAATATCTGAAGAGAGTTTATCTCCAGTTGCTCAGTAGTCACAGCCTCACCTCACAGGCACAGGAAAAAAAAACCTGAAGTGAGAAATGGCAGGGTTCTTCAGCACCTGTGCTGCTTCTGATCACTATTGTTTGCAGCTCAGATCTGGATCAGCTCACCATGAACTGATTAGACCAAACAAGTACAGAAGGACCATGATCAGGTGCTGCAGCACAGCAAAGGGGAAGACAAGAAGGGACTACTACCAGGTTCTTGGAGTAGCAACTCATTCCACACCTCAGGAGATCAAGGAAGCTTACAGGAAACTCCAGAAGCAACACCATCCTGATATTGCTGGCGACAAGGTGCGCATCCATCTGCCTGTTCTTCGATTTACTCTTCTTTTTGGTTTTGGTTTTTGGTTTCTTAGAAATTCAGGTAAAAGGTAAAAAAATCTCGACAAGGAGCAGCTGTTTTGTCGTGAGATATCAGATCGGTTCTTTCCCTTGCATCGTGGTAAACTGTGAATTGGTGTTTTTCTGTTCAGGGCCATGACCATGCGCTGTTGCTGAATGAGGCGTATGAGGTGTTGATGAGGAGTTCATCCAGGAAAGCTGATGGATTTGGCAAGAGCAGAGGCGGCTTTGGGAGCGGTTACACCGGGGACGGGTACAGTTCTTGGAATGGGCCTATCAGGAGCCAGGCTCTCTTCGTGGATGAGAACAAATGCATAGGTACGTAGTACTGATATTTCTGACCAAAGAACACCAGTGCTTCAGAGATAGAGGTTGCCGTGTGCAGGATGTAGGGAGTGTGTTCACCATGCTGGGGAGACATTTGCCATGGACGATGTTCTTGGAAGCGCGCACGTCGAAGTCCAGTTTGGCGACGTGGAGCAGCAGATCCAGGTAAGTCCAGATGGTCCGAGTTTCCGACTCAACGTTGGCACTAGTTGAGCTGTTTGAAACACATCCAGGGATCTTAATCGCAGGTGGCTGTGGAGTCTTGCCCTGTGAACTGCATCCACTGGGTTGGGAGCGAAGAGCTCCCGGTGCTGGAGTTCATGGCACGTCCACAGCCCAAGGAAGGGCACGGCGTGTTCGGCGGCGGGTGGGAGAGGCCTAAGGACGTGTTCGCGGCGGCCAGGAACTTCTCCAGGAAACTCGAGAAGCAGGAGCGGCAGGAAAGTTCCAGGGGCGCAAACGGTAGTATATTCAGCTGTTCATTCCTACGAACTGAAAACCATGTGAAGTTCAGAGACTGAAAGTTCATGCATGATTTGCAGGGGGTGAAGATATGGAGGCTGAAACGGCAGCTCAGGCCGAAGCGAGACGCCACGCGGGGCAGGAGCTCCGGTGGAAGAGTTTGTTCGATGTTTGGAATGGGTTGGGAGACTGGAGGAAATCTGGAACAGACAGGTAGATGTGCAGTTGCTAGTCGTTGGTTAGTGATGGTGTGAAGACTGCAACCACACACTGGATGTTGTACGACGTGCTGTAATAACTGGGATATAAGATGGAGGATGACACAGAACTTTTTTTTTTTGTAGAATTCTCGCCCAACTTTATTAATAATTCAACAAAATGTCCATAGGTATAATGGTTGGATCATATGAGGGTTCCCAACCAAATATGACGACCTGTGTCCAGATTAGATGCGAACTTGACGAGATTATAAGATCCAGATTAGATGCGAACTTGACGAGATTATGAGCTTTAAAATTAAAGTTCCTGCACCGCTGTGGACATCTTCATGTTGCCTAGTAGCGGTAAAAGCAGTCAAGTTTTTTTTTTTTGAGTAGTTTGGATTGCTTATCATATATGTCACATGATCGGTAAAGCAGTCAAGTTTGTTGAGCTCTTGGGCCCAGGTAACACTCTTCTTCCTTTAAAAGACGATGCTTTATTTGGGCAAACGAGAAGTAAAATTACAGGACTTCAGTCTACTTAAATAACTATTGTTACTAAGGGGGTTTAGTTACTAAGAGGGTTTATGCAGATGCCGGGTGTAAGACTTAAATCTTGTAAGTAATAAAGCGACCCTTTTCAAAAATCAATCTCCTCCTATCCCTAACCCTAGTTGCCATCACCTCTCCTCCTATCCCTAACTCTAGCTGCCACCAAGCCTCGCCCCCTTCCCTTATCCTGTTTGGTGGCTTGTTGGCAGCTAGAGGAGTGGGGGACCCGTCCCTTCCGTTTTTATTAGTTCTTTTTCTCCTAGGTTTTTAATTATCCAGGCAACATCGACGAGGTGGTGGCGACATCGCACTGGAATAAGGTCTCTTTGGCCTCTCACTACCTTGACAATGTCCGGTCAGGCGTCCATGAATGGTCTGTGAGGGTAGGTGTTGCCTGTTTTGTCGGCCCTCATAAGATCTTGACACTTAGTACGTCAAGCAAGACAAGCAGTTGGCTGAATTTTAGTGTGGGGACTTTGACCTCTCCTTTCAAGTTAATCTTCGGCATGGTCTGATTTCTCCAACCGCTTGGACCGATGGTGAATGATTGTAAGTCTGCTTTTGCGTGGGGTGATGCCCCAAATGATGTTCCTTCATTTGTTAGTAGTAGATCTCATTTCTAACGGTGAGTGGCTATGTGGTCTTTAAAGCTTGGTGGTATGACGATGGCGTTTGCAAGTATCCTTTCCCTTGCTCCGGCGGGCGGTGTATAACCGAATCTTTTAAGATTGAGATATGACGACTGAGTTTGCACATGACCTTGCCAATCTCTAAAATTTACTGAACACACTATATATGAACCCGGAAGAGATACACCTGTTTCTCCAAAAAAAAAGTAATTTAAAAATGGCTGAAAACATGTTTTTTACAACAAACTTGCTCAAGCGTCACACTCGCATAAATTTTTGGGCGAAGAAATGATTTTTATGGTATTGTTGGCAAAAAGCCAAAATCAACACCATATTAGAGTTACTATTCACTCCACATTGTCCTGAAATTTTTGTTTTTTGCTTAATTTTTTTACGGGGAGTTTTCCTTTGTAATTTTTTTATAGGGGTACTTCAGTAGGCCAAGTTTGTTCCAAAAAAGTTTTGAAGATTTTTTACTTTTTCCTAAATTGCTAACTTTTTTGCAAGAAACTTTTTTTTACCAGGTTCATGTATAACCATGTTTGTTAGGGTATTTTCGGCACTTTATATGCAAATCATGGCGACAGTAAATACGACCGAGTCAAAAGTAACTTTCTCAGCTCGAGTTCAAATGCTATTGGTATTAATAGTAAAATCAAAGAATATTGGAAATAATTCAAAACATTCTGTTTTTGTTATGACAAACATTAAGGAATGTTTGAAGTGCTTATAAAGTTTCATCGCGAAATAACGTTTGTAAAAGTTGTGGCAAAAGAAAAATCAGAGCTTCAAAATGCGTTTGAAAATACCATTATTAGGGCATCTATATTTTTTTGCCATGATTTCTACGAATGTGATTTCATGACGAAACTTTGCAGACACACTAAAAATTCCTAATGGTTTTTTCAGAGTTATTTGATTTTTCTTACATTTTTTAAGCTTACTGTTTATACAGGAGCATATGAGCTCGCGAGAAGATGCTTCGCGTCCCGACTGAGCACCAATTGGTTCGGCAAACTCTGTTTCGATACGGCCTCGCCATTTCGTCGGACACGTGGTAGTACGTGGCACCGGCCCTTCCGCAATGGCCTCCTTCCTCGCCGCCCGCCGCCTCCTCTCCACCGCCGCCGCCCGGCGCCTCCTCCCATGCACTTCCCCGCCGCCTCCTGCCACCGCTGCTCTCTGCTGGCTGTCCACTGACGCCTCGCCCCCACCGCCTCTTCCCGCCCCCCCTCTGGAGCCCGCGGTCGACCCTCCCAAGAAGGATGGAGCCTCCTTCTCCGCCGGTTCCGGCGCTGGAGGGGCCTACCGGACTGGAAAGGGAGCTGCATCGGGGGGTCGCCGATCTGGTGGCGCGGGGTACGAGGAGGAGCAGCAGAAGGTCCTCCGCGCGTCGCTTCTCCACGTGGTTGCGGCTCGAATTCCCCTCCAAATCTGCTTCCACTTTCGGCGTTTTTACTGTTTTTGCAATTTTGTGATTTTTTTTATTTCGGTTTTGCTTTAGCCGAGGATGGGATGGAGCGAGTCGGCCATGATCGCGGGTGCGAGGGACGTGTCCGTGTCGCCGGCCATCGTCGGTGCCTTCCCAAGGAAGGAGGCTGCGCTAGTTGAGGTACCGTCTCCTTCAATTTCTTTCTGTTGTGATTTGTTGCCTGATCTCGATGTGGTGATCAATTTTCATCGCAAGAAAGTAATACTTTTTGAATGCTACATCGGGTTGGAATTTTGATGAATATGGAAGCTTCATAGATTACTGTAGGAATTAATCCTTGAATGCACATTGGTTGGATTGGAAACTAACGCAGCCAGCTGTTATGAAGAGATCGTAGTTGATGATAGCTATTGCATATTTTGATGCTATATCTGATTGGTATATTTCCAACAGATCGTAGTTCTTGATAGCTATTGCATATTTGGATGATGATTTTTTTTACGGGAATAAGATTTTATTCATCAAATGACTTGCAATCAAAGATGAGATAAAATCAGGGGCAGAGTTGTCCCAAAAGGTCGGAGATTTAGATGCATAACATTCCTTCGCCAAACAATCTGCACTTGACGAGCAGATCGGGCATTGAGCACTAGTTGAAACGTGTCTATTTGCAAGGACTCCCAAACAGGGAAGCATACCATGTAGGACCTTCCAAATGAAAATTTTAATCTTCCCTGGCACACTGAGATTCCAGATTGTTTGCCAGACCGGGTTTATTCGAACCCATCCTTGCCCATCAGTCTGAGAAAGCTGCTGACCATAGCGAAGCTCCCATTCACGGTGATAAGCAGACCTGACCGAAAAAGTGCCAGATTTAGTGTACTGTCACGCGACAAAATCTTCGAACCCTTGCATATTCAGAGATTTTTGCGAGATACGTTGTGCATTGACCAGGTTGAAAACATCCTGAATTAGAGTTTCGTCCCACCGCCCACTATGCGGATCAATAAGTTCCTCGACTTTTGTTAACATAATTTATCCCCTTGGTGTGATCACCTTACGGTTAGCACTAGATGGAATCCAAGGGTCCTGCCAAATGTTGATTTTTTCTCCAGTTCCTACTCTCCATATACATCTCCTTTTAAGTGTTGTTATTGTTTGGTGTGAATAGAGGGCAGGCCTGGCGCAGTGGTGAAGTCCTCCCACTTGTGCCAAGAGGTCCTGGGTTCGAACCAGCCTCTCTGCATTGCACTTTGCAGGGGCAAGACTAGGTTCCTATAATCCCTCCCCAGACCCCACCTTGTGTGGGAGCTTCTATGCACTGGGTCTGTCCTTTTATTGTTTGGTGTCAATCTATGGTAGTTACCTTGGACTTTATGATGTACTAGAAGGGTTGTGCGCGCTTCGCTGCACCGTTTGTGTTGTTGGGATCTAATTTTTTTTTTGTTATTTGATTTGGCATGTGGGGGGATGATGGAGTATGTTTTCTTTTTTATATAGTGCGGTGTTTTGATGGGCCCTTCCTGGAGGTGCGATTCTGTCTTATCTGCTAATCAACTCACACGTATGCGGGAAAGTTTCTTGAATTGGTGGCCACATGTACTATATTGATGCTACAGTGTCACATGTTGACGCTTCTTTTTTTGCAAGGTGATGAGAGGGTGAGCGGGATTGATGTATTTTTATAGGCTGGTTACTGCCGATTGATTTGAGAAATGATCTAATCAAAATCATGAATCAAATCCAAAATTGGACACCTCAATCGTACGAGGGAACTCCTTAAGAAATCGTTGACCCGGTCAAAATCGTTAACCAAATCCAAAATTGAACACCACAATTAAATGAGAGGTCTCCAAAATTAGGGAGTGCTGTTGAAGAATAAATTATTTTGGATCACTGTTGAAGAATGATGTTACACATGGATGATGTATATCCGTGCTCAGAAGAAGAGTGCTGTTATATAGATTGATTTATATCAGATTTATGAATGTTGTGGCATTTGTTTGTATATTTGCATGCACCACATGCTCTCATGAAAAATAGATCATTTGTGTGAATAGCTTCATTTGCATAAACCATGTATTTATTTTACAGCAATGCTATTATATTATGTATTTGTGTTATCACTTGCATAATTTTTCTTGTTTCACTAAAAACATCCGCATGGCTGATGTTTCAAGAACAAATCAATGTATCGTGTTTCCCCTGGCACTAGCATTAGGATGCCTTGCCTCATGGATAGCAGCATAGGGCAATACCTGTTATAAGTAAAATGGGCTGTACTGTGTGGGTGGATGTGCCATACGGTGTCTACAGTGTCTTATGTGGGGGACTACACTAAAAATATTTTATCTGTCAAACCGTTAACTAAATTGATGATCTGCTTTCACCATGGCTTCGTTGC